AGCTGGCAGTCACTTTGCGAGGAGGAGCGCGCGGGCTGCGGGCGGCTGGGGCACCCCGGGAGCGGCGGCGGCGCTAGCAGAGGCGGCCGTGACAGCGGAAGGTTCTCTCGCCTGGGCTGGACTTAATAACTTTGGAACTGTCCACCAGTGTCACGTCCTGAACATGAGCCTCCTCCTCTCCTTCTACCTGCTCGGGTTGCTTGTCTGTAGCGGGCAAGGTAGGAGTGTGGTGCTTTATTCCCTTTACTTTCCCTCCCCCTTCCACCCCACCAGGAGAGGCAGAGGGAGGCATAAGAGGCATGAAATGAAAGAACTAAAGTTAGAGTTATTGGTGGTGGAGGTATGATTATTCTTTGCGCTGGTTCTTGTAGCTGCCGCTAAAGATTGTTGCTGTTCTGTCAAGATCCTTAAATAAGAGAAAATACGGAATTGGAGATGGGCATCGGCGAGCAGGAGATCGAGGCAAACTGCTGCTTCTTTACCACCACCTCCCCTTTCCCCTATCTTGGCTTTTTCTGGTTTTCAAGATCAAAAATTGGAGGAGTATATTGGTGTGTGTGAACAGTTAAATATCAGAGGTTGGGAAGGGAAACGGAATGATGATGTTTTACAGGAGCAGACAAAACTATTAGCATCAAACTCGTTGGTGGAATCTCTGTTGTTTGCAAGAAATTCGATTCTTAGAGACTCTTTTTTTTCCCCCTTTCCAAAGAATACCCCAATTCCTGCCTGTGAAGTGAACGCCGATGGCTATTTTTGTTGAAAACTAAGAGAGGGGGCCTTGGATGGTGTGTGTGTAAGAAAGCCAGATGGATAAAACTAGGGATATGTTGCAGTCATTCATTTTTACACCCCTCACCCCCTGTTAATACATCAAGGTTGAACATTTTTATAACATCAGATTGTAATTACACCTGTAAAGGATTTTTTTTTTCTTTTTAGTTTGTGGAAACTGGTGGAAGCCTTTATCTCCTAAAAGAGGGGTGGGGGGCATGAATAGCTTACTACAATAACCTGACAGAAAATTTGTGGAAGCTACCTCTGTTTATCGATAAAGAGATAGATGTGAATATATCTTGCTTTTTAAGATAGTTCTTAGTCACATAAAATATATTTATAATGGAGACATTTTCAACTGTCCAGATAAGTTTGGACATTTAATTGGGGCCACAAAATGCTAAAACATGTTTTTGTGGGAAGTCTTTATTAAAAAGAAGATAGCAGTAATTCGTGATTGGTAACGATTTCAGAGAATGCTATATTATTAGTGTAGCATGAAATTGTTTTTGGAGAAAAAAATAAATGCTAAGACAAGTTAAAATATCCACTACATTCAATTCTAAGCATTTTTTAACCTTTTATGTGTTGCTCAGTTGATCCAGCAGGGGGTGGTAGAACTCCATTTTAAGGGGAGAAATGGTTCTGCTCTTCTACACTCCCTGGGTCTTTCTATCATTCTTCAGCAGGGCTTGACATTTTGGATATGAAGCCTTCCTTCCTCTGCCCTTCTCCTCCCTAAAGCAATAGTGTTAGTGGCTGATGAAACACGATTGGATGCATATTTTACATTCAGAAATCAAGATGCAAACACTGGGTATTGCTAGAGTTTGTGAAGTGTCTTGGTAAACTGCTGCTGATTTGTCCTTAAAAAAAAAAAAAAACTATGTTAGCAAAATTACAGATATGCCCATTTGAAGCTAATATAAGTCCAATCAGATAATCTAATCACTGTTATCACAAATAGCAGCAGCATATATTTTTGCCCTACAGCAGAGCTGCTTTAGTATTTGGAGAGTAGCTGATTATGTTTAACTGTCCATTTATGATAGAGTCAGGTATTTCTGAATACTAAGAAGCAAAACCTGAGAATTACAGTTAAAATACTGCAATTAACCAAGTATAGATAAGATGGAGCAAGATGGGGGCATGATAGAAAGCAAGTTTATGCAGACTTACTATTGCATTGACAGCTTTGGAGAAGAAAAATGTCTCAGTTGTGCAGTCTGAATGAATCATTGTAGATATTAAGTGTGTAGGAATTTGGGAGATACGAGGAAAATCAAGGATTGTTTAAACATACCCATGGTACTTACAATTTGGGTTTATACCTGTTACATATATGTGAAATTGTGAGTCACCTCATTGATAATTCAGAATGCAGGGATTATAAAGAGGGACTCTAAGACTGAAGCATGCCTGAAGGGGAGCTCATAGTCACTGTAATGAAGCAGAGGACAAGGAGAGTGTCGTTCTGAAGATCTATCTAGTGCAATATAAAATGCATGGCACTCAAAGAGGGAGAGATGCATGTCAGAGAGACTTCGCCTTTGTGAGATGAAACATGCAATACTTTGGTGCCGTGTGTTCTAATGAAGTCAGAGATGCTTGGAAATAGCATTCCGGATCCTGGAGTCCGATTCCTTAATGCTGGTGTTTTGTTCTCCAATTAAGGATGCAGCAGCAAGTATCAGACATACCACTGGGAGTAGTTTAAAAAAAAATGAATCTAGTGTAACTCATAATTTTGTTTATTCTTTTATAAGTGGGGCTATGGAAAAGCTGCCAGTCAGTGATCCCTGGGCTTGCCTTAGAAATACTAAAATCGCAGCTTGCTGATTTATGTTTCCAACAATATACTTGCAGGGGATTTTATGAAGCATGATTGAAGCTATTGCTTTGGAAAGTGGTGTGCAGTTAGACTGGGGAAAGGCAACGATGATGTATTCCCTTTTAAGTAGTCAAAACGTTTTGAACTGCAGCAGTTGAATAAGAGAAAATGACAGAAATGAAAAACTGACTAACTTAAGTGGATGCCAATACCATAATTAGCTAACAAGGTCTAATAGTTCTACTAACTTTCAACACAGCATTATTGTTCTGCGGTAGTGAGAGCCCCCCCCCCCCCCCCCTTTTTTTTTTTTTAATACTAGAAGTCTTTCTTTAAAAGCCTCTTATTTCCACTGTGAGATTAATATCTAATGAAGTTAGGTTGGAATTTAATTGTGCATTCTGAATTTAATTGGCAATAGAAAGGAGATTCTTTAACTTTTGCAATTATTTTGCCTTTGTTTTCAAATGTGGCCACATCCTCTGTCATCATAAATCTCCACTAATAACTTGAGTCTGTGATTCACAGTGCGTTTGCTGTTTGGATCTATGTAAATACAGATTCCCAAGCTGCGGGGCATATTGATTGCTTTCCTGAAGCTTCTATCACTGAAAAAAAATATTTTTCTTCTCAGAATGATTCAAACAAACTAATAATCCATCTACTACTGGATGTTCACATATACAAAATAGAAGCGTATTTATATGGAAATGTAAGATAGAAACAGAGCTATCCATCTCTCTTGTAATTCACTCCAACCACCCACAGTTTAGAACACTTACCTTAGCCAAAATCATGAGGAGAAGGTGGGGAGTGGCCCACTTAATGACTTAAGCTTACAGTTATCTACTTGCATTTACTCTTCTGGTGAAGTTCTACCACTAAGTGCTTTGTTCATTAGAGATGGGAACCTTCTAAAAATGAAGCACAGGTGTGTGGGTGTCTACTCCTTTCTGGTCCACAGGAAGTCCTCCCCGAACCCTGCTACCCAACCCCCAATTGTAGCCTCTCTCAGTCTTATTTTCTATCTACTCCTGCTCTCATTGTTTGACGTTACCCTTGTGTTTGGTAAGGTTTCTATTCCGTGAATTTCATATTCATTTCTACGGAGAAGATAGATTATATCAATGGTTACTGCTATTGTCAATAGATACTGGTGGTGGGGGGAGGATTTCCTTTCTTGTTTCATGTTAAAGGAGTTAAATAGAGGATGTGTCCACTTTCCTTTGGAAAGCTGAATTGGAGTCCATAGAACCAGTGAGGAAGTTGGTAGGCCCCTGGTGTTCAGATGAATGTTTTCAATGACACAGGGTCTAATGTTCTCCTAGAAGTAATGGCCCATTAGGGCAGCAATTAATAGAACAAAAGAACATCATTCAGTTCAAGAAGAAAGTCAAACTTCATATAATTTTTGTAAATAAAATGACTTTCCTTCCAACATAGAAGGAGTTTGTGATGGGGCTGAGAGATGAGGTATAGAGACTGAACAGTGCAATGTGTTTTTGCTTGTTTCCATGTGAGGGAGAGTTTGAATAGAAGCCCGGTGTCTATCTGAAGGCCCTGTCTGACTTTTGACATTTGGAAATGAGTTTAATTCTTCTATTTCCAGGGTCATCTCTTATCCCGGTGAACTTGTGACAGTAGGAAGAAAGTGCTTGAGAAGTGATAGAGCCAGTCAGAAATGCTTTTGTTTTTTGACCCCCCAAAATTAATTCTCTGGGTTTTGGTGTATGCAAAAGTAATCTGATAATTTTAAAGTATAAAGGAAACTTGTCATGTTTTATTTATTCTTCATACCTGTTATGCGATCCCAGTAATATTGAAGATAGGTCCATTTAACATATTATAAATTAATTTTAAATTTCCAAATAATACAACATGAGAACACTTTAAAGATGGAACCAGTGTTTTTATACTTTTGTTTAGTGTAATATTCCAGAGCTTCATAAAGTCGAGGTATCTTTTTAATTGTTCAGAAAATAAAAGTGGATCTGTATGGCACTCTTTAAAACATCTTAGTAACTTTTAACTATTTTCAATTATAATAATAGGGCTGGTCTAAAATAGCTAACAATGGACTTTCTTGTTTCGCATATTCACCAACTCATTACATATTACAAAACAATTTTAAAAGGTCATGATGTCATGAAATGGAATTTCCTAAATTTAAATAGTCCAGCAGAGTGATGAGAAAATTGGAGAGTATTTATAAGCATAACAATCAACAGATGAGAGTTTGTAGAATTTCGAGTTAATTAATCAACATTTCTTGACTCCATCTTATTTGCTAAAACTAGCAGGGGCAGGAAAAGGACATTGGAACAGAAATAAGAAAACTTAGACTACTAAAAAGTTCTCAATTGAAGAAGAAACTGAAGGAGTCACTATGTAATTATTTGAAAATTTGATTTAAAATTATCTGACTAGTGGTCTTGCTGTACTGCCACCACACGTAACAATTAAGATACTAGTTACCTATAGGGATCTTGTAATATGTCAGTCTTACTATGCTAGGCATGTCACTGTTTATGTTTTTTGTTCAATATGCATACAGATAATTCTACTTATGGTTTTAGGACACATTTTATTCAGTTCTTAGAAATCATTGTA